TCTCAACAAACCCCGCCCCGAACCAGCCAAAGTAGAGGCCATAGCAAATTGGCCCCAGCCCCGCACCAAGACTCAAGTATTGGCCTTCTTAGGCACAGCAGGGTACTATAGAAAATTCGTCCCTGAGTATAGCACTCTAGCCAAACCCCTCACCGACTTAACCAAAAAGTCCATACCCAAACAGGTAGCATGGTTCCCGCAGTGTGCAACGGCGTTCCAAAGACTTAAAACTGCCTTAAGCGAAGCTCCAGTATTGGCGGCCCCAGACCCTAATAAAACATTTCTCATTCATACAGATGCTTCCATGTTTGGGCTGGGAGCCGTGCTGAGCCAAGTGGGGGAAGATGGAATGGAGCACCCAGTGGCATATATCAGCCGCATGTGTATCTGTGCTTCCTTTTGTTGCAGAACAGCCAGGAGAGCGCCATTTGGTAGTTTGCTTCATACGAACAAGGGGAGCAATCGCTCCTATGAGCCAGGAGGATCTATTCGTGACTTTATTTGTTTTTATGCTATTTTCTGAATTGACCGACCGCACACGCTGAATTCGTGGAGCTACGTGTGGGGTCGGTAAATTATGACTTCCATACTTTTTGAGAACCCCTGAACCGATCTGGGTGAAATTTGAATATGTTGGTCCTCCAGATCGGGGCCATCAGGGAATATAATTTGTGGGGATAACTGTATAAAGGGGTGTTCTAAGTTTTGGGGAAATTGTGTGCTCTCTGCCTGGAGATAATTGGCTTATTCCTTAATTTATCTTAATATCTCCCAGGCAGAGAGAAGGAGTGTGTTACTGTAAACCTGTACTCTGATTAGTTATTTCCTTTGTTTACTGTGGGAGGTCCTCTTGCAGGAGGATTCCCATAAAAGCCAGTGTGGCATCAATAAAACATTATTCCTGTTACACCCTTCATGAAGTCTAGGCTCATTTTTGGGGAATATTTTACTTGCTGGGGAGAATAGTCTTGGAAGCTGCATTCATCTACACTATTCATCTACACCCTAACTGCAGTTATAATCACTTATGCTCAGCTATTGGGAAAGGAATAGAAGACCACAGTACCATAACCACTGCAGGTCTTAACAATCACAGTTTTTTTTGTTTTTTTTTTATTCTTTATTGTACACTCGATAGGTGTGACAAGTGCACAGAAACGTTCGGGCTTACGCAGAAGCCAACATGAATATCGTAAGTGGTAACATAATGTAATTTGAGCAGGTAATGCAAGTCCATCCTGTATCTCAGCACAATTTGTCTCCCCTCAAGGGATTTTTATTTTTATTCAGGCATGTGGGCGGCATAAGGGGCCCCATCTTTTCTCATTTTCTCATAACTAACCCTGCTCATGGGCTTCCCAGTTCCTCTGACAGCTTGATCATGCCTGGTATAAAATACCAGGGAAATACCAGGGAAAAGAGAAAAATATAGAACATGAAACGAAAAAAGAAGTGAAGAAGAATGTGTAGGAAAAAGGATTGGGAAAAGATATAGAGTCGAGAAAAGATGAGAGGAGAGAAGGGGAGAGGAGAGGAGAGAAGGGGGGGAGGGCTTCCCTTCTTTCAGTATTATAGACATATTTTCCATCGGGGGACCACTCTCTGATCTGAACCCCGTCAGTCTCCACTCAAGCCTACTGGGCTATTGTCCCATGGTTCCCAAAGTCATTGGAAAGACACCGTCGTCCCCTTTACCCTAGCTGTCAAGTCGTCCATAATTCTACATTCTCGTATCCTAGAGATCACCCCCGAGAACTCTGGACCCTCTGGTTTTAGCCACGCAGTCGCTATTGCTCTGCGTGCACTTAGAGTTATTTTATGTATTAGTTTCTGCTCTCTCCTAGTCCACCCATCTACTGTTCTGTTTAGCAAGTATATCCAGGGGTCCATATTCAGGGGTCTGTCAAATGCAAGTATATCCAGGGGTCCATATTCAGGGGTCTGCCAAATGTTTGTTTCAGCAAATCCTCCACTGCCTTCCAAAAGCAGTGTATCTTCGGGCAACCCCACCACATGTGGATGTACGTTCCTCGGGCTCCACAGCCCCTCCAGCAGTCGTCTGTGTCCAGTTTGTGCATTTTGTATAGCTTTACGGGTGTAGTATACCACCTGACATGGTCTTCCATGTCTGTTCCTGGAGTGTGACACATATGGAAGCATTTTTATTCGCTTCCCATATCTCCTGCCACTCTATTCCTTCCAAGACCTCCCCTAGGCCCGCCTCCCATTGCTCGGTGTATGTCAATCTCCGCCACTCTTTATTTTCTGCACTATGGTGGGCATATAGAAGTGTGATCATTCCCTTAGGTGCCGCTTCGTCCGTGCATAGTTTCTCATAGAATGTCAGCCTTCTCAGGGCTGCTGCTCTAATATGTGGTCTTCTAACAAAATCTTGTATCTGAATATATCGAAAGAAATCTGCTGGGGTTAAATGGTTGCCTTGTTGTAGTTCCCCAAACTGGATGATCTCTCCGTTTCGATATAACTGATGGATCCGCTGTAGTCCGGTTCTTTCTATGTTTCGAAAGTCCCTTGGAGCCATTCTGGGTTGGAACTCCCTGTTTCTAAGTAGTGGAGTTAGAGGGGAGGGAGTCAATATCAACCCGTACTTGGAATTATTCGCATCCGATATATGGAGCGAGTTGAGTATGGCCGGACAAGTCACTCGTATAATAGGTCTATGTTCCTTAGGGACCCACATTGTGAATTGGGGGAGATCCGAGCCCACCAGCATGGACTCAATCTCCACCCACCTCCTTTCTTCCGGCGGGGAGTGCCACATGGCTATCTGCGTCAGTTGGGCCACAAGATGGTAAAAATATAGGCTAGGTAGGCCCAGCCACCCTCTATCCTTGCATCTATACAGGATTTGTCTGGAGATCCTGTGCCTCTTATTCTGCCAAATGAAATCCCCTATCGATTTTTGTAATGGTGACAGTTGCGTTTTTGCGACTCGGACGGGCAATGCTTGGAATAGGAATAAGAGGCGCAGAAGGATGTTCATTTTAACGGAGTTGATCCATCCTATCCAAGAGATGGGTTTGTCCGTCCATTTTTCCAGGTCTCTTGTCAACGCAGAATATAGACGTTCCTGGTCTGCCGTTAGGTGAATACCTAAGTATGTCAAGGAGTCTTTTTCCATCCAGATATTGTAAGTCTCCTGTATTCTAACTGTTTCTGCCTCCGTTAGGCCTACTGACATAGCGCTGGATTTGTGGATATTTGCTTTATATCGGGACACCTCCCCGTATTCTGTTATTACCTCCTGCAGTGCCGACATCGAAGCTATCAGGTCTGTTATGGTCAGGAGGACGTCGTCCGCATATGCCGAGACAGTAAATTCTTTATCTCCCACTATGACGTTCGGGTGTTTGCGTATCGCTTGTAACAGGGGTTCCAGCGCCAACACGAAGAGAAGAGGGGAAAGTGGGCACCCCTGTCTGGTCCCGTTGTATAGACTAAATGGTTTCAGCGGGGCGTTATCTGTACCTGTGACCTCACCTTATGATACATCGCCCTTATGACAGTTATGTATTCCTGCGGGAAGTCCAGATGCTTCAACACTGAGTACAGAAATTGCCACCTAACCCTGTCAAAGGCCTTTTCTGTGTCGATGGATACAATCAGGGTGGGCCTCCCGGTGGCCTTTTGCTTCCAAATCATGTCGATATTCCTCCTGGTATTCTCAAATAATTGCCTACCTTGGATAAAACCTACCTGGTCAGCATGTATAAGTGAGTTCAGTAACGGGTTTAATCTATCCGCTTGTATTCTCGCTAGGATCTTGGTTGATTAATGAGATGGGCCTGTAATTCGCAGGCTGGAGTGGGTCCTTTCCCGGCTTAGGCAGTAGCACGATCGTGGCAAGGGACATATCAGGGTCTAGACTCCCTGTCCGCCTCAGGTTGTCAAAAAGCCTCACCAGGTGAGGTGTAAGCTCTTCCCTAAAGGTCTTGTAGTACGTGCCATCGAATCCATCCGGTCCTGGTGCTTTGTTACCTTTCAGGCCCGATATGGCTCTATCCACTTCTTCTTCGGTGATTTCTGCCACCAGACCATTCACCACCTCCCTATTTAATTTTGTCATTCCTAAGGCATCTAGATATTTCAGTATATGTTCCTCTTCTTGAGTATTCCCCTCCGGTGTGGGATGGTATAGGCGTTTATAATAATCCTCAAAGACCTCAGCTATGTCCGTCGGCTTTGATTTTGTCATGCCATCTGGGTGTCTTACAGCCGTGATATGAGACCGTTCCTGTCTGGGTCAAAGCGTCCTGGCCAGGAGAGTGTCCATCTTATGTGCTTTTTCGAAAAAATCAAGTTTTGACCATACCATGGACCTGGCTGTTTCGTCTAACAACAGTGTACAGATGTTTCTTCTCACTGCTTCTAACTGTCTGTAGATCTCCCCATTCGGGGTCGTTTGGTGTTTCTGTTCAAGGGTTCTCAGTTGTCCCTATAGGGTCTCCAGCTTTTGAGGCTTCATTTTCCCTCGCACCACCGCCTTATGCGCCACCCACACCGTACTCGCGCTTACCTCCGGGGTGTCGTTCATGTTGAAGTATTCTATTATCTCTTTCTGGATCTGTTCTATCGCCTCCGGGTCCCGCAACAAGGACGTGTTCAATCTCCACGTCCATGGGGATGCTACGCATAGGTTGCCCAGTGTGATGGAGACGTCTGCGTGGTCCGACCACAATATGTTACCTACCTGTGACCCCACAATGCGGGACAAGCCCGTAGCGTTTGCCAAGAAAAGGTCTATCCTTGAGTATGTTCCATGAGAAGCCGAATAGTAAGTATAGTCCTTGTCTCCCGGATGGTGAGCCCTCCATACATCTATCATCCCTGTTTCTACAATAAATTCTTTGAGCAACCGGTCCTGTCTGCCTCTCCCCTGGGACCTTGGGACTCCGTCTCTTGAGCTCCTGTCCACAGCTGGGCACACATGCTCACTACAAACTCACACACACAAGTTCACTGCAGAGAATCTCAATGACACACACACACGTTCACTACAAGCTCACTGACACACATGCTTACTACAGACAAGCTAACTGACACACATGCTCACTACAGACAAGCTTACTGACACACACATGCTCACTCAAAACTCACTGACACACACACACAAGCTCACTCACTAACAGGCACACGCACACACAAGCTCACTCACTATCAGACACTCACACACACACAATCACTGTCATGGGCTGAAGCCTACCTGTCACAGAAGGCTGTGGGAGACTGGGAGGCGAAGTCTGTCCTCTTCCTTCTGGTGCGTGGGCGTAGATTGTGAGGGGGCAGATGTGCGTGTGGGAGGCTGGGTCTGAATGCAGGGGCGGAGCATAGAGGCACCAAATTGCTGGGGATTCAGAATGGAGCCTCACAGTGCTCCCTTCGGCCCCCTGGCAACCTAAATGCAGCCCCCGCACCTCCCTCCAGACTCCAGTGTCTCCCTCCTTCTTTCCCTTGGACTGAGCTGTCACATTAAAATCACCCCCATGCCATGTGGCAGCGCTGAGATTTTATCCCTCAGCGTGTGCCAGAAACTGGAGTCCGGCTGGTTTGGCGTGTAAATATTTATCAGAACAATCACAGTTTTTGACAAACTGTAATCATTACATTGCAGGACTAAAACTGTCTCTAATGGCTGTCTACCAGACAATCACTAGAGGTGTTTTCTGGTGTTTACCATACTCTGGGTCACCTAACTCCTGATACTCTGCATGAGGACATCCAGCGTCAGCCAAATCCCCATAGGAAAGTATTCAGACAATGCCTTCCTATGGAGATGGCCCAATGCTCTTGTGGCGCTTTAACCAGAGGAGGCGGAGTAAGTAAAAAAAAAAGTGTTTTTTTTTACCTTTTATGTACTGCAAAGGGGGGCCGCGAGCATGGGCGCTGCAAGGAGAGGGGGACAAGAGGTTGCCCTTACCCCCACCTGGATTTTTCAACATGCCCCCTCCCCACAGGCAATTTTCCCTAGGAATGTGACAGCTCAGTCCAAGGGAAAGAAGGAGGGAGACACTGGAGTCTTGAGGGAGGTGCGGGGGCTGCATTTAGGTTGCCAGGGGGCCGAAGGGAGCACTGTGAGGCTCCATTCTGAATCCCCAGCAATTTGGTGCCTCTATGCTCCGCCCCTGCATTCAGACCCAGCCTCCCACACGCACATCTGCCCCCTCACAATCTACGCCCATGCACCAGAAGGAAGAGGACAGACTTCGCCTCCCAGTCTCCCACAGCCTTCTGTGACAGGTAGGCTTCAGCCCATGACAGTGATTGTGTGTGTGTGAGTGTCTGATAGTGAGTGAGCTTGTGTGTGCGTGTGCCTGTTAGTGAGTGAGCTTGTGTGTGTGTGTCAGTGAGTTTTGAGTGAGCATGTGTGTGTCAGTAAGCTTGTCTGTAGTGAGCATGTGTGTCAGTTAGCTTGTCTGTAGTAAACATGTGTGTCAGTGAGCTTGTAGTGAACGTGTGTGTGTGTCATTGAGATTCTCTGCAGTGAACTTGTGTGTGTGAGTTTGTAGTGAGCATGTGTGTGTCAGCGAGCTTGCCTGTAGTGAGCAGGTGTGTGTGTCAGTGAGCTTGTGTGTGTGTCAGTGAGCTTCTGTGTAAGCGAGCTTGTGTGTGTCAACTAGTTTTTCTGTAGTGATCATGTGTGTGTCAGCGAGTGTGTCTGTAGTGAGCATGTGTATATGTTTTAGTGAGCTTGTGTGGGTCAGTGAGCTTGTCTGTAGTGAGCATGTGTGTGGGTCAGTGATCTTGTCTGTAGTGTATATGTCCATGTGTGTCAGTGAGCATGTGTGTGTGTGTCAGTGTCAGTGAGCATGTGTGTGTGTGTGTCAGTGAGCTTGTCTGTTATGAGTTTGTGTGTATGTCATTGAGTTTGTCTATAGTGAGTATGTGTGTGTCAGTGAGGTTGTCTGTACAAAGCATGTGCGGGTCAGTAAGCTTGTCTGTAGTGAGTATGTCCATGTGTGTCAATTAGCTTGTTTCTCTGTAATGAGCATGTGTGTCAGTGGGCTTTTCTGCAAGGAGCATGTGTGTGTGTGTGTCAGCTAGTTTTTCTGCAGTAAGCATGTGTGTGTCAGTGAGCTTGTCTGTAATGAACATGTGTATATTTGTCAGTGAGCTTGTCTGTGTCAGTGAGATTTTCTGTAGTGAGAATGTGTGTGTGTGTGTGTGTGTGTGTGAGTCAGTGAGTTTGTAGTGACCATGTGTGTATCAGCGGGGATTTTCTATAGTGAGTATGTGTGTCAGTGTGCTTGTGTGCGTGTGTGTGTGTCACTGAGCTTGTCTGTAGGGAGCATGTGTGTGACAGTAAGCTTGTCTGTAGTAAGTTTGTATTTGTATGCCAATGAGTTTGTCTGTAGTAACCTTGTGTGAGTGTCAGAGTTTGTACTGTTTGTGTAAGTTTGTGTGTGTGTACCAGTAAGCTTGTCTGTGTGTCAGTTAGATTGTCTGTAAGTGAGCCTATTTGTGTGTATCAGTGAGCTTGTGTTTTTATGTCAATAAGTTTGTGTATCAATGAGTTTGTCTGTCTGCTTGTGTGCTTGTGTCAGCTGAATTCATCCTGGAGCAGCGAGGCTCTTTGCTCTGTTCCTGCGAGAGTCGGTTACTGAGAGCATTGCCATGGGTTACTATAAGGATTAACTAACACGCCAGAGCGCAGTAGTGACCCTGCTTTAAGCACCAAAACAACTTTTCGAGAACTGAGCAGTGAGACTGCAGTGGCATGATCTCTACACTAAAACCGCTTCATTAAGTAATGGTTATGGCACTTAGAGTGCAGTTTTGAAGATCCACACATTAATTTCAGACAGTATAAGACAGAACGTTATACACATACATAGGGATCATTCATTGGGTGTTATACTCAGTTTAGAAAGACTTTTCATACCGGGATATACTAGTGAAATCCATATTAATGGTGGCAAAAATACAAATGTATTGATTGATATGTATATATAGTGTTATTCCACTAAATCAGAAGACATATAATATTGATAATATATTGACATATATTGATAAATTTAAATAGTACATGCTATTTCACCCAATGCCTGGCTAGTGATAAACTGAGCATGGCTGACACTCTCAGACCACCCAACAAACCTTCCTACTACTGCAGCGGTTAGGAGGAAGGAAATGAGGTGACTATGAGGGACCAACTTTAGAGTTTAATTGTGAGAAAGTGGTTTAGCCCTTGAAGCTGATATGGCACCCAGACAAACCTGCCCCCATAATAACTTCCCTGAGCTAAAGATGTTATTGTGGAGTGTTCCTTTAAATATTAAGAAAGGGGAAAAAAAACAACAACATAAAAGTAACTCAAGATGTAATTCTAAAACTGGAGATAATAGCATCTTACTTATACTGTAGATATAATTGTACTTACATGGAAAATACATATGATTTTGAACTTAAAGATTAATTCTAAGCGCTATAACCATTTCAGTCAATTGTGCTTCTGGCACACTTATGTGAATTTAAAATGCGTAATTCAGCTGCTCCATCGTAATAAAAAAAATAATAATTCCAGGCTATATACCATTCTCAACAAATCCCAAATGTATGCTCAATCTAAACTAATGAGTTTGGCTACTACGCCCTGTATCATACACAAATCTAACAAATCGCATTCACTCTCACATACATATAATTGGCCACTAACACAACTATTTAGTCATGCATTAGCCTCTTTTTCCATCTCTTCATTGGACAACAGCACACTATAGCCCACATCATTTGGGAGACCTCTTGTCCAACATGGCAAACTTAACTGTATATTTACCCCTGCTCCCCCTCACCCCCCAAAAAAAGGATTCTTCTCCATTCCCTCACCTTTTTTTGGAACACAGAAAGACTGTTGAATAACAAAAAAGCAAAAAAAAAAAAAATGGCTCGTCAATTGCCCATTTTGTCCACTCAGAAGAATTGCTGATTGCACGAAATTAGGATGAATTGTGATTCATTTTAAACTAATCGCACAAATTCCAAATACACAAATGTGCATACATACTCGGGCAGCACAAGGTCTTCATAAGACGGTCTTGAGCTGTGCACAGGCACTAGGACCCTGTAGAAGGCGCTGCTGTAGGGCTCTCTGAAAAGTCATATTCATGTCTTCTCTTTATCTCCCTCCCCTGGTCATCTGTATCAGAGAGCGATGGAGCAGTGCCTGCCATTGCTATACCTGGTGTAAAGTGGGGAAGTTGGGGTAGGACTGATGCACAGTGACAGGCAGGGTTTATATTCTGGCACTGTCCATATCAATTTGAATTATGAAGCACGGGTGGAATGGGGGTTACTGAATATTAATCGAGTTGCTGCATGAATGTCTCTGGGTGCCAGCACATTATTTCCACGCCACCCCAAATGGGAGTTATTGATCTGGGATTAGCAGAGAACAGGCCAAAAAGAGGCAGCGGAGAGAGAAAGTGGGTGGACTGCCCAACTTGGAAGCCTGTCACACACTGTCACTGTGTTTTTACATGATCTGCAATTAGAACTCCATGATATGAATGATATAGTAGAACCTCTAATTTATTTAAGATTGATTTATAGGAAGCCAATGCAGCCTCTGTCGGTTGGCAATGGACATGTTATGTTACGTGGACTGGGTGGTTGCACATCCATCTGTGCAATAATGAATCCAGCCCTGCTTACAGAATCGAGCAAAAGCATGGGTTATTATAGATGTAATGCTAAAATACAAACTTGAAAAACTGGAAATATAACCTAGCTGTGTCTTGATCTGCTGCTGATAAACAAAGTACTTAAAGAAACACTATAGTGTGCTTTTCTCTGAAAGGCAGTGTTAAATTGAAAGGCCTGCAGAGACAGACTACAGACACAAGAACCATTACATTGAGCTGTATTGGCTCTGGTGAATATAGTGTCACTCTAAGGGAGCAAAATAAATATATTTTAAAAATCCTTGAGACTTCCAAGGTATCAATTATACTTTATTAATGTCTGTTTAGACTTTAACTATCCCTTTACTACTCCATGTGCCTTGTTCCGGTGCCCAGTAATGACTCGTCTCCACAGCTTTATATAGCCACTGAGATACACAATAAGATATTGACTAGCACAAAAGAATACACAGACAGATATTCTGTGAGATACACAATGAGTGACACAAAAGGATTCACAGAGATGCACTGTGTCAAACAATGGGATACAAAAATTACATACACTCGGAGAAAACGCTAACTGACATACATATGCATACATAGATACACAAAGACATGCACTCTGTGAGAAACATACTGACTGACACAAAAGGGATACGCAGACACACAAAGACATACTGTAACATACACACTGAATGACTCACAAAAGGATACAGAGTTATACAAATAAACATATTCTGATAAACAATACAGTGACTGACACACATCATGGCCCAAAATACACACTAAATTGTATATACACTGACTAACAAAGTAAGTTTATTTAAATTCATGGTTTAAGTGTTAAAACTTGTGGAGTGACATAGTAAAGGCACACCATTTATTCGAGTATAGCATCAGTACAGTGTCATACATACCGGGGCTGTTCAAATGGATACTGCCAGGGTTAAATGAACACTCTCAAGCACCCTAACCACCACAGCCGACTGTAGTGGTTAGGGTGTCATGAGTGCCCTGGCTCTATCCCATAACTGTTCTAGCATGGTTTGGCAACTTACCTGGGTTCCATGTTTCATCTGCTCTGCCAGAGATGGTGAATTCAGATGTCTCTTAAGAACAAAGCTGGACCACAATCATTGGCCAAGAGAGCTCAGCTGGCGCTCTCAGCCAATGACTGCAGTCCTGCCTTGCACTAAAGAGACATCCAGCTTCTTCTATTGGAAAAGACCAGGGGATGGCGATTGGACTGTCAAAGCACAATAATCATTACAGCAAGGACTTGTGGTTATGGTGATTGGAATGTTCTTTTAAGGTTGAAGAGGCAGAGTTAAAATTACTTCAGAACATATTTAAATGAAAGATCTAGGAGCTTTGAGTTTTGGATTCTCATCTAGATTAAGGGGTACAATGCAGTAAGATCCACCCTCTAAAGGTAAGAAACTACATTGCAGGATGCACTGTATATGTTATTAAAGAAAGAGCCATATTGGTCCCACGTTCTTTTAATTGTAGCTACAGTTCACAGAACATCAGTTTGTACTGCAGATGGATTTGGAAAACTCAGAGGATACTAAAATTTGTGGATAATCGGTGAAATAGCAAAATATATACAGAAAGAAACAAAGTAACAGTACAAGGCAAATGGTAATCAAAAGTAATTTACCTTAATCTTATAAGCATCAAGGCAGAAACACAAGTCACCAACAACCCCAATGTTGGGTACCTACTGGGTACCTGTATCTATGTCCTAATGTGCCTGCTTATAAAGCCCCCATGTGATGGAATTCCAGTAAAATAAAAGTTTAGCAGGCCAAGATTGCCACAAGGCATATGTAGGTACATGTGTTTGTAGTATCAGTTAGTTAGTTACACGTAGCTAAGATACTGTCATCACTGTACTGAGCATGTGCAGGAATGCAGGAACTGGAATTACGCGTCCCTCTCCTTTGTTTCAGATGAGCCACGTGGTTAGACCGGATGGATGAGTTTAGACTCTATTCATTGATTAGGTTAAGGGTATGTGTGGGCGTAGCTAATTATGGGAGGAGCTACAGTGCTATATAAGGAATGTACTCTATGTATTCAGTACTCAGATCTTTGCTGTTTTTGGTGACATAAGTCCCTCTGAGTCCCGGTCGGTGAATCGAATAAAGATCTCTTCCTTCCTGAAGAAACCTGTGTCCATCTCTCTGTGCTTGGCCTCCGTCAGTTTCCCGGTAACATCTTTGGTGCATTGGCCGGGAAGCTCGTCGTTAACGGTGGCTAGGAAGCAGAGGCGTGAGACGGTCTATCTTTGCCCACGTTCTCTACGGCTGCACCCCTGAACTTCTGCGTGGACCTCCCTTCGTCTCGGCGCCACTGGTCTGTTGTCCAGGAGATCATCGGCCTCTACGTAGTAAGTACTGGGGTGTCCCCGTCGATGAGTGTGAACTCAGGTTCAGGAACGAGGAGGTAAGACGACTACTGTTTTAGACGGTGGACCCACTAGGGGTATTGGATACCGATTGTGCGGTAGGCCCATAAGGGGTTTGAACTGGAATTGTGTATGGAATTGGCCCCCTCCAGGGAGGGAAGGAGCGAAGGCGCACCGCTCATAATTAGACGCCCTGTAGTCAGCCCGTCTAATCTTGGTATGGAGTCAGGCTGGGTCTTGGTTGAATGTATATAGCCCAAGCCGGACACCGGTGTCTTGTCTAGACTAGCGTATCTAGGGTGTACATTTCGTTCGCTAGGTCGGAGGGACCGGGAGACTAAGCAGACTCTGGTGTACATTATCGTTTGCTAGTTCTCAACCTATCTTGGCTAAGTGGGAAGGCGTGTAAATTTGGAACCCACTAGACTATTGATAGAGTAGATAGACTAAAAGGGTATTGTTGTAAATTCCGCCCTCTAGTTCGCTATATGTGGTGCTTGGGCAGTGACGGCTAACCAAAACGGATGTAAATAGTTTTAGGTAGTCCCTCGAGGTACTGTCCAATAGATTAGTTGGGAAAATGTAAATGTGTTAAAATTTATTATAGTAGAGTGTATATCTTGCTGGGTAGCGCGAGCTCTGCCGTCTAGCGAGAGTGTGAATAGTGTGTAACTGTATCATAGCGCACGGTACCATAACCATGTATTATAATCACTGATACTGTAAATAATCACTAATAACTGTCGTTTATGTTGTATGTTTAACACCATAACTACTATTAACTGACCTGTGACTTTAAAATTGTATTCTAACCAATGCTAACCGTACTATAACTACTGTTTGTAAAGACGATGTTACTAGGGTGTGTTATAGACGGGTAATTTAAATACTGAGAATTATAGCGTGGGTAATTGTATAATTTCGCCAAAAAAGGTACAGTAATAGTTATTTAGTGTGTGGTGTAACAGCTGTGTGTGTACGGGAATTCCCTGTATGATTTGTTGTGTGCGTTTGGCCTAGTAACTGTGCCATGTGGTGCTGTTGCCAAGGGAAACGGGTGTGACTGTTGGAAGTGTGTTTTGTTTTGTTTCTATTGGAGACGACGCTCCATTGTTAAGTATGGGTGCGTTGGATTCAAAGATCGTTGATCCCTTAGATTGCATGTTAAAGAATTTTAAAAAGGGATATAATGTATGTGATTTTGGGGTAAAGATGTCTCCAACACGTTTGACTACTTTATGTAGCAGGGAATGGCCTGCCTTAGTGGTTGCATGGCCTCCACGTGGTAGTCTTGATCCTAATCTAGTGCAGCGTGTACACGTAGCTGTATCTGGTAGGCCGGAACTTTACGACCAGTTTCCATATATTGATTGTTGGAAACAGGCCGTGGATGACTTGCCAAAATGGATCAGGGTGTGCCAAGAGGAGCAATGCCGCCTCCTGTTGGCCAGAACTCGTTTGTCCACCAAGGCCGTGATCACGCCCATTCTGGACACGCCCCCTGAGTCAGAGATTCCTTTACCGCCCCCTTACTCCTCCTCTACAGGAAGAGGAAGAGGAGGTGCGGCTAGTAATGCCACTCCCCTTTCCCCATTGTCTCCTCCTACCCCATCCTCTAGCTCAGAGCCCAGCCCACTTGTTCTAAACCCTCCCCTTCCGGTACCTACCCCTACTAACTCCACCTATCCGGATTTGACGTCATTTCTGGTTCTTGGTCAGGCTCCTCACAGCCCGGCCCGGAATATTCTGCTTACCAACCTCCCCTTCAGTAAAGAAAAAGCGTCCCCCTCCCCTCGTCTTACTATCCCTCGACCGGAACCCATAACTGACCTTCCTCAATGAAGCCCCATACTAACCCGACAATTTACCGGTACCTTTCAACCCCGACATTATCAAATGCCTCTCCGATTGACACCGGGCCCGACACACATTAACAGTGAAGGCCAGTTAAAACATGCCGACCCCGTATTTGTTTATGTTCCCTTTACCACTACGGATTTGTTCAACTGGAAAACCCATAACTCCTCTTACACAGATAAACCTCAAGCCATGACAGATTTGATTACCTCCATAATCCAAACGCACAATCCCACTTGGGCTGATTGCCAGCAATTGCTTATGACATTGTTTAATAACGAGGAAAGGACTCGGATTAATCAGGCGGCAATTAAAGCGCTTGAAGAAGTGGCCCGTGCACAGAATCAGGCCAACCCGGTAGCATGGGCCGCAGCTCATTACCCAAACGTAGATCCGAATTGGAATGTTAATGGTGCTGATATGGCTCACCTAAAAGCTTATAGGGAAGCCATTATTACTGGCATGAAAGCCGGAGGGAAAAAGGCGATCAATATGTCAAAGACGGCTGAGGTATTGCAGAAATGTGATGAGTCGCCCAGTGCCTTTTATGACCGATTATTGGAGGCATACCGATTGTATACCCCCTTTAGTCCAGAGGCTCCTGAGAATTCCCGGATGGTTAACTCTGCCTTTGTCAGCCAGGCTTACGGAGATATTAAAAGAAAATTGCAAAAGCTAGAAGGGTTTGTAGGGATGTCTATAACTCAACTAATGGAAATAGCAAATAAGGTTTATATGAATAGGGAGACAGAGACGAAGAAGGAAGAAGAGCGTAAGATGAGAAGGAAGGCAGATATGTTAGCGGTAGCTATCGCTGGTGTAGATAGAAGGAAAAAGGAAGTGTACAGGGGAACCGAGAAAAATGAGAATAAGTGGAATAGGGAGCCTTTAAGTAGGAACCAATGCGCATATTGTAGGGAAGAAGGGCATTGGAGGAGTGAGTGTCCATTGAGGGAACAACATGAGAGAGATAGAACAAGGGGAGGATATAGTAATAACTATAGAGGTAGAGTGAGAGGAAGAGGAGGCCCTGGAGGAAATGGTGGGAATAGTAGAGGAAGCGTTCAAGGGGATAGGTATTACCCAGCAGCGCAGAGACCGCGAGAAAGAGAAGATAGGGACTTTGTGGGTTTGGCTGACACTGTCATGGAGGACTATTGATACCGACCGGGCTCCATCCCCCTTGGTCGAGCGGAGCCTATGGTCGATGTAGCAATAGGGGGAAAAAGGAGTTCTTTCATGATCGACACTGGTGCTGAACATTCTGTGGTAACCGACCTAGTTGCTCCTCCTTCAGGAAGAACTATCACTGTAATAGGAGCAACTGGGAGGAGTGCTGCTAAACCGGTTCTCAAAAGTCGACTCTGTACACTGGGAGGCCACGTAGTGAAACATCAGTTCCTTTACATGCCTGAATGTCCAGTCCAACTTCTAGGACGGGATTTGTTGTCGAAGTTACAAGCACAGATAACATTTCTGCCTAACGGAACGACATCCTTGAAGTTTAATGGACCCTCAGGTATAATGACAC